GTAGGCTTCGGCCGCCACCCGGGCAAAATTCAAAATTTCCTACCAACTGAAAATATTAGGTGTGTCCCGCGCGCTCATATGACCTATGCAGTTGCGAGCGCCGAAAAACACTTTACAAAAACAAAAACATACACAACAGGACAAAAGGAAATATTCCAAACTATACACAACTGTGCTCATCTCCAAAGCTGAAAGTCCGGGTTCGAGCCTTGGTTCGAACACAGATTTTTTTCGTCCCCTCCTGCCCACCCAGCAGTAATGGGTACCTGACTTCGAGTTGGGAAGTAAAGGCAACGTGGAAAGGAAATGGCCACCCTACCACAATATGTCGAAGGCCCAGGAAGTTGTCTCACTAACAAGGCAATCCCCAATGTCCGGATCGGAGGCGGGAACAACTTAACACACAAACTGACCGTCTCTATCTACAGATGTGAGCACCACGTAGTCAAGTCCCCACTCGGCAATGGCTGCAGCCGTGTTCACAGGCTCCTCCGGGTCTGGAGGGGGTGGGTTACGGGCAGTTTTCACCGAGCAAAACCTGCAGCCACGAGTGCACGTGTCTCCCAGCACCTGACGACAACATGGAGAGTCGAGGACAGATATAATTTACAGTCATTCAGATTTACTTGTAGTTTTAGTTTTCGTAAGAGTTTTATGACACTTGCAACACAATGAAGTCCTATAAGTGCCAAAGATTAGAGATGGTACAGTAGCGTAACATACAGTAAAAAAGGAGGTGAGATAAGGACCTTAGTATTTGACAGGAAAGAAGGAGCAAACAACACTAAAGCACCCACCAACCACTAAAACCCAGTCATAGCAACAAAAGTCCATATTTCGCCAGTAACAGACTAAGATAATAAATTTTAATAGAAACACTTTTTTTTTTAATAAAAGCACTCAATAAGCACCAGCTAAAAATTAGAGGAATATATGAACTTGTAAAATTCAACTGAAGTATATAAGCATAATAATAGCCCATTAGTGCACACTAAAAACAAGAATACTGTTAAAAAAACAGCAGGAAAATGAGACAGGTCCTACAAACTGCAGCCTATAGGAAACAACTGTGATATCCCTTTGGCCTTTGACTGTAATGAGCATTGGTGGGAGGGGAGGGGGGGGGTGGTTATGTTTATTGCAGAGTTAAGTAGGTGTTTCTTTCAATTATCAATACTTTTTGTTCTTTAACATTTACTGAGGTTCATTCTAACCGCAGAAAAGACCCCCGTCCCCCTTCCACACACACACAAAAGCTCCATAATGTTTGATCCTGTAATGGGACCCAGTTCACTAATACATCTATAAAAGTGCTACAAAATGAAGCCTTCACCAATCTTCTGCAGCTCAAACCAAAGAAGATTCTATATATCCTTAGCCTGAAATAGTAGCTTGTGCTGTTAACCCTGTTGACAAGTAAAACTTAACACACAAAAAATTCTGAAAATGTGCACAAAATTCTGCGATCAATACTTCAAGGCTTATCATTCACAAATCAGGTTCCCCAATCTTTACAAGTTCATTTAAAATGTTCACACAGTGATTATCAATTAAAACAAACTATGCATTTGTAATCTGTATAAGATAACCTAGAAGACAAAGGCAAAGGGGTCTTATAGAGATATATATACATAACATAATGTAATATAATAATGGAGAAACTATTACCCACCATGATAGTAGCAGTGGCAGTGGCATGCTCCCCACCTCCCCAACACTCCCCAATGTTGGGACATCGTGCCTCCTCACATACCTGAAAGAAGATGGGCAGAAATACAATCTCCTGAACAGAAAACGTACGACCAAAAGAAAGAAAGCTAATGAAATACATCTCTACTATACTAGACAGAAATCATATAGTAAGGCCAAAAACAGACACATGTTAGTTCACAATCCCAATCATAAAAATGGAACTCAAATAAAGAAGACACTGTGTGTTCCAATCTTTTACAAACATCAAACTAGTAGATATAAGATATCATTATTATATAAAGTAGGCTTATTCAATGCTCTGACTGTGTCCCAACACACCTCCCTTTGTTAATCAATTATAACACCCACACTACCTTTCACTTATTAATCTCTTTATTCAAAATTTTGTAATTAGCTGAGATATCAATGATACAAAACATGGGTTTTAGCTACCGAAAGAGATATGTATACACCGCACTGGGCAGCAAACTATTGAAATGTATTACAGCACAGTTATGGGGTTAATTATGAAACCAAACCAATAGCTCAATCTGATCCATCATTATTCATGATAGATGGCCGCATATGCCTCACCACCAACATATTAAACGGTGTTAAGACCTAAGGTACCATTTAAATATGACCTTATATTGCTATGTCTCTTACTGTGTGTAGATTCAGATTCCTCAAAGACTTTTTCAGAGTTTTGTAGTTATCCCCAACAGGAATTTCTGTTTTCAGCCATTCAGGTAATCTCAACCTGGGGAAATGTGGAGAAAAAAAGTCATCAAAAAGCATTCGATTTCTAATTCTTTTATATAAAAGAACTTTAAAAAATACAACACACACTTCTAGGAAGCAGACTTTCGCCACAACCCCAAAGCTAACCATCAACACTATATCAGTTCCAGACTGAGACAATTGACAACAAAATCACAGGTACATAACGAGAATTATCAAGTTTCACGAAGTCTCACTTAAAATTTGTGATTTTTTGAAGCTATCAAATACAAGTACCTTTATTATATGAAACATATTACATTGACCACATTGTGAAAAGGGGAGGGAGAACAATATAATCAAACAAATAACACAGATCATAGTGTTAACAGATTATTTTAGGGCAAATGGTCCAGAAAAAATGTATATTATCAGAGTTCAAACGAAAGAGATCAAACTCTTTGGATTAGCAGAAAGCGCACTGCTCTTATGTCAACGCATTTGTTGGCTAGCCGTTCAGGTGTACTTGAGTAAAATTTTGAATTTTTTTTTATAGCAGTTTCTTAATCTTAACTCATTTTTCTAAAGAGTTCACCACAAGGCTCTGTTCACCTTTCTCCCTTCACTCTTTTGATGCTTCCCTCTCCTGAATACTCAGGGACATCTCCAGCAATGAAATCTTCCAGACTTGGCCCATCAGCTAGTTTTTCCTTCTGATCTTTCCTGAGACTTGCATGTCTTCGGGTATCAAGGGTAGGCACTCTAGAGCTAGCATTCTACAAAGAAACAGAAGACCACAATAAGTTTAGCAAACTATTCATCAGAACACACAGCTGACTTTCATCACAAATACCCACTGCAAGTATGCAATTAAGTGTGGAAAGGTCTTAAAGTAGAAATAAGGCCATGTCCAAAGGATTGTCAAATGTTACCGAAAGCCAGTTATTATGCTCGGCAAGCAGTTTACAAAGTTATCTTCTCCGTAAAACAAATTTCAATGTCATGAAAATATCAAGTGGTGCATTTTCTTTGACATTAACAATATATACTGAAATCTAAATACTAACAATGGAAAGGAGCAATTCCTAAAAAGTGATTGCAAATAAAAGTCTGTAAAACTTCAGAAAAAGACAAATGTTTCTCAAGTAGTTTTGATTTATTATTAAATATTTATCATCATAATTGCCTTTATTACCCTGGATCCAGAAACACTTTCTACTTTTTCTGATCCTGGGATAGCGTCTTGACATTATTCCATGTCTTTCCACTTTTCTGTACATCATTCTCTGTGACTCTACACTCTACTCCAGGTACCACCTAACCTTCCCCTCGATCTCTTATAAAGAAATATTAATCAAGATCTAATTTTATAAGAGGTAAAAGAAGCTTTGGATCGGCAGATAAGGTGTGGGGGAAACTAAAAAATGGCGGAAAATTGGAAGCACTGAACGTTAGATCTATAGAACGAAGACACTTCCTTTTTTCCGGACCCGAGTCCGAATAACATTTTCGAAGTGGCTAGCCGTACTGACTGCCAGTCTAGCCGTACTTAGATCTAGGTTTGGCCCTATCGACTCAAGCCTGTTAAGTACACAGGTCTCAGATCTAGATCTAGTAATTATTCAGGTTCAAATACATGCAAGTCAGTAAGGCACCTTTTGGTTTTGTCTGAAATACAAATACTTTAGGCATTGCAAACTAAAAATTTCATTTACAATTCAGCCATCAATATTAAGTACGGCTAGACTGACAGTCTAGCCGTCCTTAAGTACGGCTAGCCTGGCTGTCTACCCGTACTTAAGTACGGCTAGACTGCCAGTCTAGCCGTACTTATCTTAGACCCTATTAACATTGTCATTAGAAAACAGGAGGTTTAAAATACATGCACCGTCATTAAGGCACCTGGTTTCGTCTCAAATACAAATACTTTAGGTACTGCACACTAAAAATGTATATTTACAATTCAGTAGGCCTATTTTTTGTAAATGGTGAGTCTAGTCATCATATTAAGAATAAGTACGGCTAGACTGCCAGTCTAGCCGTCATTAAGTACGGCTAGCCTCTTCCTAACATTTTTTCATATTCGGATTTTTTTATTCGGACTGAAGTCCGAATATGAAAAAATGTTATTCGGACTCGAGTCCGAATAACGACGGCCAAAAAAAAAAAAAACCCCATGCCCCCCCCCCCCTTCCCATTCACACCTTGCACTCACATAGTACACACACACATACGCACACATACATGCACACACACACACACAAACCGGCCACTCCATTTGCTTATTATCAACAAGTCTCGAGAACGGAAATCGTTCGGAAAAATAGAGTTCAAGTTTATTTTCCCGAACGTTCGGAGAAATAGAGCCGGCCTTTATTATTGCCAGCTCCCCTGAAACCTCCCATGTTGTTATGGCATGGCTAGTGTGCATATTAGTAGATCTAGATTTCTAGATCTACATGTAAACATAGTGGGTCCACCAAAATTACATCCGACCTTATCTTTTATTAATACCAAGAAATTAGAAGCTAGATCTAGATCTAGATCTAGATCTAGAAGAAACGTTCGATCAAGTCCGAGTCTTCTAAAATAATCTATGACGAAACATTTTTGAGGCTCTGGCCAGATCTACATCTAGAATCTAGATTAGATCTAAATCTAGAATCTAGATTACATCTAGCCAGACGACGGCGGATAAATCTTACTACAAGAGAAATAAAGAAATAGATTGATTCTAACGTCACTGATTGGGGGAACATGAGCAGAAAATGACAAAAAGAATTACATGAAGATGCTGCAACGGAAGAACGCTGCCTCTGCGAAGGGCAACTATGTACATGGAGGCAGCCATTTTTGTTTACGAAATGTTGCCAGTTGCCAGATAGACACACCTTTTGGCCAGGATTCTCTTCGATAGCCCAACCAAAGAATTATTCCGTTCGGGTATAGATCTAGTATCTTTGGCTCAGCTTCGGCTCCACCGTCTCCGTATTTTAAAAATTCACCTCTGAAGATAAGCTTACATAGATTTACACTACTTGTATTAGGAAATAACTATAAGGCTTATTATAATAAAGTTACTCGTCGGTTTATCACGTTCAGCTTTGCCTAGCTGATGTCTGGTTGTTTTTAGTGTGTGTCTGTTTGAGGGGGGAGAAATGTTTTATTTATTTCTCAATTTGGGTTCGTGTTTTATTTAGACGAAAGCCAAAATTCTGTTTGCCCAGTATGCTTCATTATGTTTATCATAATAAATATTATGCACACATAATATTAGGGACTTAAACTTAAACACCCTACTACTTGCACTGTCCTCCCTTCAGATTTTGGCTTCCTTCATAATTGTTATGCTCCGAGGGAGAGGCATGGCCAATACGTAGTGTGTCTTTCTATTTTACAAGTGTGATCATACTGATAAAGGATACTTTTTTTATGGTGGAGAGATTTTTTAACTTTACAATTTTGCCCGGATAGTCGACTCTTCTTCAAAATGTAAGATTTTCAACCACACTAAGGGATCATTAACACATGCAATGTGCACAGGGACATTCGAGATGTTTAATCCTTGTCCGAGAAGAATAGGTGCCCGATCTTACCTAAGTTTACCTAAATTTGATTTAGTCTAGTGTTGGTGTAAAGACAATGACGAGTATGTGAAATGAATACGTTATTTATTTACTTGTCAGAGAAAGAGTTAGTGAGTATGTATGAGTGTGTGTGTGTGTGTGTGTGTGTGTGTGTGTGTGTGTGTGTGTGTGTGTG